AAAAAAAAAGCCTGTCAAATGTGTTTTTTAAGTCTTTCACTATCCAGGAACTTAATGACTTTAGTAACGATTTCTTCTTGATTTCCCAGGGATGCTGATATATTCTGGAGTATTCCAAAATCTTTTAATCTTGCGGTGTAAAAAGGGCATTCTTCCAAAATATGTTTTATAGTTAGTGATTGGTTACACTTTTGACATCGGGGGATAGAATCTTTTGTTATGAGGTGGAGGTGAGTCAGTCTAGTATGTCCGATCCTCAGCCGCGTGAGGACGACCTCTTCTCTACGACTGCTGCGTCTGGAGCTGGTCCACGGTTGCACCTCTTTCTTTATTGTCTTCAATTTGCTAGGTGCGCTGTTTTCCCACCGTCTTTGCCATTCTTGGAATATGGCTTCTCTCAGAGGTCGTGCAAGTTCAGATGGTGTCAAAAAAACTTTACCGCGGCCTGGAAGAGTAAGAGCTTCCTTTGCTGCTCTATCAGCCATTTCATTTCCTTTAATTCCTATATGGCCAGGCGACCAGATAAAATGTGCCGTTGTTCCAACTCCATGAAGCATTTTTTTAAGACTTAGAATGCAGTGTATCCCTGGATGGTCTGGATACATGTTATCCATAGCTTTCAGAGTACTTAGGGAATCCGATACAACAACCACATTTGCAACTGGCTTCTTCATGACGTATCGGAGACTCATTGCTACGGCGTTAATCTCTGCTGTGTAAACACTACAAAGATGGTCTATTTTATATTTGTAGGTAGTATCATGAGTGACAAAGGCTGAAGCAGTAGATGTATCTGATTTGGATCCGTCGGTGAATATTAGAAGATGTTCAGGTAACGTGATGATTATTTTGTGGAATTTTTCTTTGTAACCTGCGGGTAATGTAGTAATGTAGTATCTCCACTTTTGTTTTTCTTTCTAAAATAAATAAAGTCGATACAAACATTTTGCTAGGCTTCAATACCTGAACAGTGGTAAGTCTGTATATCGATACGGGGCAAATAGGGCTTTAAAGATTTTGATGCGTACAGCAAGACCCGAATTGGTCCTCTCGGAAATATCGGATCCTGCGTTTTTAAGCCAAAAAACTTACTATTTTCAAGATAACAAACATCATAGGCACAAGTTCGCATCCACACAACCTTACATTAATTGTAGTACTGTCATTGAATACATGTCTCATTTCATCGACTTTGAGGTCTCTATGATCGAGAGAGGAGGAGTTTATATTATTAATTGATAGTGTTTTTGATCGGCAAGCCATATCATCTTTAATTCTTCACCAAATTTCAAGATTGAGCCACCAATTTCGAAGGCTTCCTTCTCCTTCAGGCTGGCAAAATAGTCCAATCATCCCGAAAATTCAGGCAAACAAGTAATGAAGTTATGAAAAATTACACACTTTTCTCTAGGTTATGCCCATGGTTATGTGAAAGTTTACTAAATCCCTACAAAACGAAAGAAAATCATCGAAATCGGACAATTTTTAGCAAAGATACAGGTTACTGAAATTTGTAAACATGTTCAATAAAAAAAAATGAAGTACCTAATGAAAAATGAAGTAACAATTGATTTCTTCATCTTTTGATACGTTGCATTATTTTATTTTCTTATTAATTTGGCATTTGATAACAATATGCCGTGCGAATTTTTCGCACGGTCCTACTAGTTTTATTATTATTATAGCATACACTTATTATTTGTATTATAGTATACTCGTACACTATACTAGTGATATCTGTAAATAACAAAGAAACATAATTATTGAAGAGTCAAGATAAAGAAAGATTTAGGCTAAAATGAAATATAATAAACCATCTTAAGAAGATTCGTACCTAGGTAAAATCTTTAAATTCTGCTTTAGGAAATCCTAAACTGAGCTTTGTCTCCAAATGTGAATGTCAAAGCAGGATTCTAGGAGATCCCAGAGCTACACTCCCAACCGCGTCACTGATAATAAAGGTGGTATGCACATTCGTTCCTTTAACTTCATTTGAACGTTACGTCAAAAAGGAATACTTTTATGAATCTCAATGACAAAGTACTACCTTCATCTAATTTGATTTTAGAGAGGCTTTTATAAACTATAATGTTACTGTAAATTGAAACCGTCTCGTTACCTCCTCTTAGTCAATGCTCAATAAATACTTAAACAATAATAATAAAACCACATATTTGATCACAACAGTACTACTGTATTTGTCTTTTTACACCAACATTTCGGCCCTTAGGCCATTTTCAAAGGAAGAAACATTTAACAATTAAAACAATCGTTGCATCCTAATTATATTTTATAATTAATTATTTTCATTTCATACATTTTATTTTACATACCTATTTTAATAATTAAAATTAATTATGGACCGAATTGCCCTTGTCAACTTCATTTAATTAGTCATACACTAAAACCTTCCTCTACAAGGTTATGTTTATTTTAAAACCTCATTACATTGTTATCAATCCCAGATTAAAATTTACATTATTAAAACCATCTTCATGTATTTTTAAACTAGTTCATAAATATTACATTAAAATAAATAAATACAATCGCAGCCCTATATACACACTTTTTTGATATTCAGTTTTATAATTCAATACACTTTTTTTAATATTTAAAATTTAACAAAAATTATTCTAAAATATATATCTAAACAGGTACACCACTCACTATTATCCATACATTTATAAATTAATTCTGTTTATTATTTCCGAATAATTCTGACCTATATGCCTTGAATCCGCTTTGAAATTAACAGTATAATTTATTTTCTTTGTAATATACAAAGCTGCTAAAATTTACAAGCTTCTAAAACTTCAATTATCAATGTTTAAGAAAAGAAAAAATATCATATTGGTTCCACAATTTAATTGGCTAAAAGGAGTAATTTTTCATAGAAATATTCCATTGGCCGAGACTCCAGAAGTTCAGCGGTGGCGGGAGGAGAGGGGGGGGGGCGATTTTTCCCAATATAAATGTTGAGAGGGCGAAAATAATGTCCCCCTCTCAGTAATTTGAGACAAAAAAAATTAGAATCAATAATAAATAATCCACATGAATGAATAAAACGTGCTAACTAAAATCGATTAACAAAAGTCGACTATCTGGTTAGGTTAGGGCGTTGTAGGTATGTAACTATTTTTTTGTTACTTGAATGTTACTTTTATTTAAATTGTCATTTATATTCAAAGATAATAATATATATTAAAATATTCTAGGATTTTATTATTCAATCACCCCTCAATTTTCACGCGATATTGTTATCACATTTTCCGGGACAAACTAGTTCGTCTGTTAAAAACGTTGTATTTTTATTTGGTGTTGTACACACTAAGAAATCAAAGATATTTTCCACTTATTTACGTTATTCGTGTTTAGCTGAAAAGTTTAAAAAATGTACTAATCTTATGATGGCTGTCTCTCCCTCTGTATTTAATCTAAACAAATAGGTTATATATTAAATATTATTTTTTTTTAGACATTTTCAAGTATATATAAGAGATAAAACAAAAAAAAAATAATAAAAAATCCTTTCTATTTCTGTTCTATTTCTTTAATAAAAACATATAAACAAATTAATTTTAAATATTTATTTTATTTATTATACATAAGAGTGTGTATGTGATCTCTGAACTTTTAATCCTTTCAGACAGATTGTAATATTTTCAATAAATAAGTTTAAAAAAAAAATATTTAATATTATATTTGTTCGTTTCGCAATAATTATGTTGGATTTTTACACTTAATAAAGACTCCTGTCATTTTTATTTTATCTATCACCCCCTCCCCAATCAAAATCGAAAGTCTGCGCCTATGAAGTATTATTTTTTTATGGAAAGTTCAAGTGTAGTTAGAGAAACGAACGATCAAACTACCCTTATTATTCTCCCTGCAACACTTTTGGAGACAGCCCTGACGAAGGCCTGAACTTCAGTTCGAAACGTCGGCATATGTAAAAATAAATATTATAATATTATATTAACTTTTTTTTTTAAACTTATTTATTGAAAAATATATAAAATCTGTCTCTAAACCTAAAACCTAAAAATAAATAAATAAAAAGAACACATACTCACCTATATATTATATTAAATTATAATATTATATTAAATTAAATATTATATTATATTTCTTACTGCAACAAACGAACGAACGATCAAACTACCCTTATTATTCTCCCTGCAACACTTTTGGAGACAGCCTTGATGAAGGTCTGAACTTCAGGTCGAAACGTCGGCATATGTAAAAATAAATATTATAATATTATATTAATTTTTTTTAAAAACTTATTTATTGAAAAATATTACAATCTGTCTCTAAACCTAAAACCTAAAAATAAATAAATAAAAAGAACACATACTCACCTATATATTATATTAAATTATAATATTATATTAAATTAAATATTATATAATATTGCTTACTGCAACAAACGAACGAACGATCAAACTACCCTTATCATTCTCCCTGCAACACTTTTGGAGACAGCCCTGATGAAGGTCTGAACTTCAGGTCGAAACGTCGGCATATGTAAAAATAAATATTATCATTTATTTTTGCCTTCTTTTTTGACTGACCACCCCAACTATTCTTCTCTTCATTACCCTTATTATCAGTGACGCGGCTGGTTTAGTAGTACCACGATCACCTAGAATCCTGCTTTGACATTTACATTTGGATCCAAAGATCGGTTTATTCTTTCTTAAGGCAGAATTTAAATATTGTAAATAGGTATGAATGTGCTCGAATTGGTTTATATAATTAGTATATTTAAGTTTGTTCCATCTAAATCAGAAGCCTTTATCACCCCTCAAACAACACTTAGAATTTAAATGCCACCTTTCTTACAAAATCATAACTGTAAATGTGTTACTACTCAATTTTATTCAGTTCTTCAATTATCAAGTTGTTCACGTATAATTAAGAAAATCTTGAATTTTATCTAATATTTTAAACTTTCTCAAGTTATTCTTATTTTTATTAAAACGAATCCGATGACGTACCTTCTACCAGCTGATTGTGCAGCGAAAACACATGCGTCGTTGCTTCGTCTGGCATGACCCAGCCACCGGTGACAATTTCGACTTTCCCGTGGTGCACCAGCTCTCTGAAAATGTTTCGTGACTCTTCGGATGACCTGCGAAAAGGAAAAGAATATAATATAAAACTTCAATACAAATAACTTCAGAAGTTAATCCGAAGTGTGGTTGAAAATACTATATTATATTTATTACATTGTCCAACGTTTTGATGTACGTTGTAGTTCTTCTTCAGGGCAGGCGACTCAGTCGCCGTACTGCCTTCAGCTATACTTTCTGAAGTCACCTGTTTAGAAGTTATCAATTTCGAGAATATTGGCATTACTATCTTTTCGGATAGTCGGCACTACAAACATTGGAGTCTTCTAAAGTGATTTTTCTTTCACACTTCTAAAGTGATAGAAGACACTGGCCTTAAGGGAATGCAACGAAAAAGGCAACGAAAAAGCTGATTACCTCGCAAGGGAAAGAGCGGAATCTCCTATTGTAGCTCCCGGAACCTGCAATAGGAATATCCAAAAAGCATCAGAAGAAAGAAGTCCTTGATTGGACTTGGAAGATAAAAGTTTTTAAGGATTCTGCAGGTTCGTTCAATAAAAAAACTACGTACAAAACAAAACAAATCTTTAATAAATAAAAAGTTTGGTAAAAACAAAATTAGAAAATAAAAACATACCTGAATGCACATGCAATAATATAGAAACAAATCAAGAAATCAACTAAAACTAACTAAAATTTGTACTAACAAAATGCTTTATATATACTAGTAAATTAAAACTATTGTAATCTGTGAGCGCTCACTATACTGCATGCAGACCACTAATAATAATAACTAATGTTCATTAATTAGTGAACCCAAAGAAAAAACAATGTAACATGTTAAACTATTGCGCTAGCAATAATAACAACAGGGGGCTATAATCGATCTCTGGATCCAGAGAGGTTGCACCAGCTCGCGCATGGTATAGGCTAAGTTGTCTTGGACGTTTGTCATTAGACAGAACCCTAACAAGGTAAAGAATGGAGGGAATGTACCGGGCTTAGGCAGGCGAATCAATTAATTAAAAACCCCTCTCCCTCCAAAACAAAGTGGCTGCTGGGCCTAACTAGGAAAGAAATCCGACTCACATCGGAGTACAAACAGGCCACTGCAGACTTAAAATACATTTAAAGACCTGAGGGATAGTGGATGATGAACTCTTTAATTTCTGCAGAAGTGCACCTGAAACTGCCCCCGGCTTCATAACGGAATGTGACCGATTTGCGTCACTCAGCTACAGACTCCTGGGCCCGGACAGAATGCAAGTATGCAAAGCTACCTCCATTAAATGGTCCAACCTTTTGAACTTCATTAGAAGGACAAAAAGGTTTGAGACAGAATAGAGGTACAATAGACAACCACTGGTAGTATCAAATTTTTGGGGTTGGCAAAAAGGACCAATAGGCCCACTTGCCGGACTAAGTCCCCCCACCAGTACCAGTACCAATGCCTTCAGCAGTTCCAGATTGACCTGAAGAAGATCTACAACATAGGTCGAAACGTTTGACAATGTAATACATAAACTATTATATAATATAGTATTTTTTGACCACAACCCGGACTAACCTCTTCTAAAATCTACGGTCAACTATCTCCATACCATTATCAATACAAATAACTTTGGTTAAAATATTGGTCTAAAATGGATAAAATACGAAACATAAATAGAAGATCTTTTATAAAGTCATTAAGATGATGAGAAAAGAAATCCCACTATCTCTATAAGGGATTAACGATAAAGATGGAAGCATTGTCCAGCGAAGTGAAGTTATAACGGGAAGATGAAAGGGGTATTTCAAGAAGCTGTTAGAAAGGAGCTACCTCAATAAGAATGAGTCAGAAGGATGTAGAGGATTATTCTAACAAGAGGAATTAATAAGCAAGGGTGAATTGAAGGGAGTAAAATGAAATATGTCCTGAAATTATTCCATAGATGGCATCGTCAAAAATGAATTTATGATCACATTATCTTAAAAATGAAATTTTGAATTATTGTACCACTCAAGACATAGAGGTGCGATAAGACTGATTTAAAAAAAAAAAAAATCGTTTCCTAAAACGAACCACAAAAAAAAAGTTCATAAATACTTTAAACGTTCTAGATCATTAGAGACCACAATAAGGTTATGTTGGTGGCCGCAATATTTATTTATATTTTACCGTTGTTATTTTTGTCCCCATCCCCACATATATTATAACAGTAAGCCTCGAAATCGGTTTTGTACCAAATATAAGCTCCTGTCATGCTCAAATACCATGAATGGGGTACTGTTGGATCCAGAATTTCAAGTGGTGTTAGCGAATCATATTCTCCACTTTTGTTTTTCTTTCTAAAATAAATAAAGTCGATACAAACATTTTGCTAGGCTTCAATACTGGAACGGTGGTAGGTCTGTGCATTGAAACGGGACAAATTGGGCTTTGAAGATTTTGATGTGTACAGCAAGACCCGGAGAATTCCTTAAGCTCCAAAACGTACTATTTTCGAGATTATGCAAGACATGAGGTTCGCATCCACACAATCTTACGTTAATTGTAGTACTGTCATTGAATACACGACTTCAGGTCCCTATATGATCGAGAGAGGAGTTTATATTATTTATCGATGGTGTTTTTTGACGGGAAGCCAGATCTTCATCAAATATCAAGATCGAGCAACCAATTTTGATGTTTTCCTTCTCCTTCAGGCGAGAAAAATTGTCAAATCACCTCGAAAATTCAGGCAAAAAAGTTATGAAAGGAAACAAACTTTATTTGCGAATAACTAAAAAACTAATTACACTCTTTTCCCTTGGTTATGCCCACGATTGTATAATGAATTCCCTACAAAAGGGAAAAAAAATCATCAATTTATAGCAAAATACTGCTTTTTGAAATTTGTAAACATGTTAAGTCCAAACATTAAGCAAGTTTTAAATTAATTTATGTTTCCTTTGTCGATTATATTACGTTGTATTATTTTATTTTATTATTAATTCGGCGTTTGATCACTGAACAATATACTGTGCGTATTTTTCGCACGGGTCTACTAGTTATTAAGTAAATTACACACCCATGTATAAGTATTCAATTTATTTCTATTAATTTTTAAATTTTCGTAATCTAAATAATTAAAATTAATTCAAACGAGAGATAGATTATTACCAACCGAACATGGAAAAACGATTAAAGATCGCATGCGGACTATAACCCATCTGTTTTATATGAAACTTATTTAAAACGTTTAAATTAAATTTCCTATTAAATTAAATTCTTGAACTCAAAAGATGGTTGGTAAAGTAACAGTAAATTTGATTTGACCTGCTGTAAATCGATTTCTGCATCCGATGGTGCAATAAACAGATTTAGAAGGTCTTGGCCTTGTTCTATCATTATGGCACAGGCCTGAGATAACATTCTGTCTTTAATAGAGCTCGATTTAGGGCCAAAAGCACTTCAATATTTCTTTGATGTAACCTGGTAATCTTCTAATCCAAAGATTCGCTCCATCTACGAGATGGAGAAACTCGGAATTCACTACTAAGCTGAGTATATCCGCCTGCATTTTTCTGTGATGAAATACTTTTTACTTTCACTTACCTATATGTGAAATATAGTAAGGTAAGGAACAGTATTGCGATTTCGAAAATTTTCCAACGGAAATACATGTTTTGAGGTATCTTGTGTCCAAATAACCAAGACCTTCAAAATGGTCTATGTGTGTGTGACAAGTCTAGATCAAAACTGATAAGTCGTATGAAGGTGAAATTGTATATTTAAGGTTTGTATATACCTCAGATTTTTGTCAAAATCGGCAGTTTAGAATTGAACAATTTTTTATATTATGTAGGTTTTATTCTCATTGATGTTCTCTAACAGGGCTAAAATGGCTAATTCTCAATATTAGCTTCCTACAAAGTACCTTTAATGTTTTTATTTTAAACAATTTACCATTTCACATTTATCTCTAATGTAAAAAATAGTTAAATACAAAATATGAAAGAATTTCATAATTAACTAAAGGAGAAATATTAGATCGTAACAGAGAATAGTTGTTATGAATGGCCGAGCTGACCATAAGATTAGAACAGGCTTCCATAAGTAACATGAGCATAATGAAATACGGACTCCGACAATATTATGTACATTTATATATGCGGTTTTCCTAAATGTATTCGTTGGTATTATTCAATATGTAATTGTATAGATTACAGCTATATAAATATTAAAATCAATATAGCTTTTATAATTTTTACTTTCATTTCCCCTTTGTCTGAAAATACTTATTTCTGTAAAAAAAGAGAATGGTAAATATAAGTTGTGTGATGCGCGCACCGCACCAAATTTTTATTTACTAATCTCCATTTTTTTTTTTTTTAAATTTTGACCAAATTAGAAAGAGACATTTTTGAAATGTTGTTTGTGTAATTAAGAAAATATATTTACTCGTACCGTGCGAAATTAGTGGATCAAATATGATGGAACTGATTTTGGAAACGAGTCTGAATCCATTGCATAAGAGGTAACGTGGCTGAGATGGGATGATTGTCTTACCAGTGTACCTTCGGGATCGAACCTTTCAGTTCAGTGTACCTTTTTATTTATTTACGGTACTGAACTCTTTTGGTCAAATTATTAACATCCGCCTATAACTTTGTGAGTTGCTTATTTTATCGTAACGTACAACTTTTTTATGTCTTAGATTAATTAATTCAATGAGGTGCGAAAATCTTATGAACATTCATTCGCTTTCAATTTGAATCTAATCTTATCAAAATCTAGAAAAAAGGTGTCCTGTATAAATATTGGGCCGTTTAGAGTCACTTACAGCTACATGCCAAAATAACGAGGTTATATAGTCCAAACTGACCAATATTTTTGAAGGGTCGCTTTTTTTCTCGTTTTTTTAAATTAAATTATCTTACGATTTAAGTGGAAAGCAAATGGGTATTCGTGAGTTTTTAGTGCCTAATTAATTTAATGAGAAAATGCTCTATGAATTTTGACAGATAAAAAAAATTGTTTACGATAAAATTGAAGTATTTACAGAGTTTTATACGAGTGTTAATAATTCGATAA